GCCTCCGCGGCGGAGCGCGCCCCCAGCCCGCGCCCGTGCGCGCCGCCGCCCCAGCCCCGCCGTGCCCGCAGCTGCCGCTCGCGGCCCCCGCAGCACCGGCTGCAGCCCGGGGACATGGCGGAGTAGCCGTGGTCCGGGAGCAGGGGGAGCTGCGAGCAGCTATGGTACCTCCCGACAGCTGAGGTGGAGATAGGCGGTGGCAGCCGGCGGCTCGCAGCTTGACCTCGATTTGTTTTTGGGACTGCAGGCTGGACCGGCACGTCCGGTGAGCTGGGAGAGATAAAAACCGGGAGGATATTTGGGGTAAGTGAGGGATTGCCCCCGAAACTGGCGCTGCTTTTTGTTTTTCTTTTTTTTTTTTTTTTTTTTTTTGGCCGGGGAGGGAGGGGAAGATACGCAGAACTGTGGTACCCGGGGAACGCTATCAGATATGCACTGCAGCACGGGCACTTCGCTAACTCTCGGCTGGAGCCTCCCGGTGCCCTTCCGCCACCAACCCGACAGAAGTTCGGGTCTGAATCTCTTTTCCTTCTTGTTTAAATAAGTTTTAAAATACTGGCGTCCTCAGCCAAGCCGCCGGACGATGCGCACAAGCCGCACTTGATGCGGACTCCGCACTTGTGCCGTTCGCATTGGGGGGACACACACACGCACGCACACACACTCACACCCTCCTCCGCTGCCATCCAGCCCCGTTGTCACTTGCGGGGGGCTGCGGGGGTGCATCCCGGGGCAGGGCGCTCGGTGCGCGGGGCAAGCCCGACCCCTGCAGTCGCGTGGCGGAGCCGCCGCGGCGCGCCGGGATTGCGGCGGGGCCGGGGAGCCGGGGCTGCGCGCTCCGAGCGCGGCGGGGATGGCGGGGCTTGCCGCCGGTATTAATCTCTTTCCGCTCATTCTGTAGCAGCAGCAGCAGCAGCAGCAACAGGAGGGGAATCCCCCTCCCTCCGCCGCCTCCTTGCCCGGCATGCCGGCACTGCCCCGCTGAGACGTGCAAAGAGTTTTGGGGTTAATTTGCGCCTGGCCGTCCCTGGAATAGAGACTCTCCGGATATCGGATCGGTTGGGGTTTGTAGTCTATGTCGTGTTGGGAAATCTGGTGGAGTTTTTTCTCGCTCGAGGAGGAAGAGCCCGGTGTTGGCAGTTGGCTTCGTGGTCTTTTTTGGAGGGCGAAGGAAGGGAAGGGATCTCACTTGAGCCGTGCGGAGAGAGAGCTCGGACATGTGTTGTCAGCACATCTGGGGAATACAGTCTGCAAGTCCGAAAGGAAATTTGCTGGGATCGTTCAAACTGCGATATTGATCTTTGTTATTTTTTTTCGCCGAGGGATGCACTTGGCATGAGAATCGGAGGATGGAAATTGTTTGGGAGGTGCTTTTTCTTCTGCAAGCGAATTTCATCGTCTGCATTTCAGGTACGCAGCGAGCACAGAAAGGGCAGGGGAGCGGGGGAGGTACCGTACGGGGTTCCCAGGTGTCCCCTTATTAAGGGGTAAGGAACAGTTAAACCCAGGTCAAAACTGTAGTTGAAAAATCCATGAATGATGTACTGTGAGTGGGTTGTGACGGAAATCGACTCTCATAATTTCCTTCTCCCCCTTAATTCCAATACGTGTGTCTTAATTATCATTCATTGGTTGCAGTAGACAATACGGTGTACTGATAAAGGAAATGCATATAATTCCCGGTGTACCTGATAGTGATAATTATTTGCAACATTGCCATGATCCCAGAATTTCATATCTCTTGAAGTTCTTAAACTTGGCTGATATGCAGATCCTGTGGGTTGTTGATGGAATTGTCATGTTCTGGTGCCACAGTTCCGGGTCTGCAAAGGGAGGGATAACAGTAAAGTGTCTGTGCTTTTAAAATGAGCCTTACTGTGTCTGTGCTCTGAAAATTATTCTTTTTCTTAAAAAAAGAAAAGAAAAAAAAAAAAAGCCCCATTTAGGGAGCCTCTGTGCTGGCTGGGATTTACAGCTTTATTTTAAGCTTGCAAAGATTGCTCTCCCTTCAATATGTAGAAAGTCAGGTCATTTCAGTTGTCACCAGAGCTTGTCCAGTTAATGAATAGGCATGGCTAGTTGTCTAGCATAAAGGATTTGAACAATTTATTCTTGGGGAAAAACATTCTCTGTGACTGCAAAAGCCCTAGCTCCCTTGTTAATTTGTCATGTTGGTCATGCTGGAATAACTCTGTTGTGGGAGGCAGGAGCAGTGAGGTGGCCAGTTTTCTACTTGGGACACTTCAGGGAACCCCATGGGTTCTGCCCCATGGGAGATGCCTGCATCTCCCACTGCTCCACTTCCCACAGGCTGCCTCTGCCCTCCAGCCATTGCATAAGTCCAGAAATGGGAACACAAGCAGCACAAGCAAGGCACTGCTGGAGGGAGATCCAGGGTCCTGGTGGCCATTTCAGTGTTCAGCCTGGATGTCCTTAGGGAGAGGCAGCTCCAAAGCTCTCCTGGGACCATGCAGAGATTGGCTTGGGCTGTGTCCCAGCCACAGCCCTCAGGCAGCAGCACCTGCAGCATCCCCCCCTGGCAGCTGTGAGCCCCACTGCGTTTCCTGCAGCATCTCCCAGTTTATCCACCCCTCCAGCCCCTGGGCTGGGGCACACATGAACGCTGGGGGCTCAGCATCCCTGTTAATTTGTCCTGCCTGTACCTGCCCCAAAGCTCCTTTATTCCTGAGCAAATAACATCGCTGTCAGCCCACGGTGTGCATCAGCCTTCCTTTTATCCCTACAGACTGGCACCATCTGCCACCAGGCACCCGGGTGACACTGCCAGCACCCCAGGCTGACCTTCCACTCTTGCCCGTTGGTACCATCAGAAAAATTCGCTCTCTAGCTTTTTATAACAGAAACACCTGCTGCCTCTTGTCATTGAAATCTCACACTTACCTATTTAGCTCAGTGTGATGTGCCGCTTGTCCAGTGCTCCTCAATCAGGTACTTTTTAAAGTACCACAGTGGGAATAGCAAGCTGCAGCTCATCGCTCTCTTTGCCATTGTGACAGTAATATCCTGAGACAGAAAGAAGCTGTCCCATTCTGTGCAGCTACTTATGCCTTGCATTTAGCTGTCAGCGTTCCTTGAGCTCCTGCCCTCCTTTCCTCTTCAGACAGGGGAGCCCAGGCTTCTGAACCAGTGGGATCAGTCCTGCAGGGGCTCCCATCGCTCTCCATCTCCCTCTAGCACTAATACCTGATACTGTACACACTCACACCATGTCTGCTTGTTTTTTTTCTCTTCTTTTTTTTTTTTTTTTTTTTTTTTGGGAGGGAATAAAGGGAATAAGTGAATGGTGGGATGCTTCTGCCACATGGTTAAAACTGTGGTTTCAGATCATTTTGACCACACAGAGACTGTATACATGCTTCAGCCTTGTTTTCTTTTTCCTTTGCCTGGGGATTTTGGTTTTTTTTCAGGAATCCTCACTATCTGTCGTCTTAGTAAAAAGGATTAAGATCTGTAGATATCTGACTGGCACTAATGCTCTGTGTGTTGCCTCTGCCATCCTTTTTACAGTGGGTTTTGTAGCAAATTATCTAGCTGGAATATCTGGATAACAGTGCGAGTAGGAGATGTCACGAAGCCTGTTAAAGGATTGCCTCAGCACAGGATTGCAGATTGCATTTTAGCACTTCAGCACTGGTCATTCATTCAACATGTTACTTTAAAAACTCACTAGTTGAGCACTAGTGCTGCAAATTACTGGAATGTGAGTTAAGGAGTGTGGCAGTATTTTTTTTTCCTTTTTTCTTTTTTATTCAGTTGTTTCATCAGTGAAGACTGAAGACAGGTTTGCTGTACGTGGATCTTTCCTGAACGTTAGCAAATGCTTGGTTCAGTGTCTGTTTAACCCTGTGATCTTCCTCCTGCTAATTCCAGTGGTTATTTGGATTAGGGCCTGCTCTTCAAAGGGATAATGTCATTCACTGAATTGAACACTGTTAAGTTCTTTAATCATTATTAATAAACTTACTAAACACAGGTTCAGTGTTATGTCTTCTCCTGTGTATATAACATTTAAGTATAAATTATGCTGAATGTAGCACTTGTGCTGTGTTTCTTATTTAAAATAAGTAACGATGAAGTATACAGTCAACTTTTTGGTGTCTTACATTCATGAATTTCTTGGAGACTTTGTATATGGAAAGTAATGTAATCTGTTAAAAAGAGGTATATATATATTTTCAAAATATTTTATACTTAATTTTTTTTATGAGTCAGTTATTTGTGTGTATGAGAGATTGATTGTTTTGGAAGAAATTATACTGAGATTTAGAGATTGTTTTGGGTTTTTTTTTTTAATTACTGGCCGTTCCATGTGTTTGGGAAATAATTTATCTGTGAACTTTAGGGACAATATTTTTATTTTCTTGGCGTTCTGAGTTAAGGCTTTTGCTGCTTGGAATTGCTTGTTTGAAAAGAAAATCTAGTTTCCTTGTGCAGATGCAAATGAGAAATACAAACAGGCTGAAGGACCACAAAAACTGTATCTGTCCTTTAGACAGAAATGAAAGCCCTTGCTTTCCTTCAAAGTCATATTTTTAGTCCTTTGACTTGTAGTTTCTGGGAAAAATAGTCATTATTTGTATTATGACTTTTGAGGTTTTGTCCTTTTAATGATAGTGTTCAGCATAGAAGGAACACAGAGCAGAGGAAGTGAAGATGTTCTGTAGACAGAATGCTGGAATAAGCCCCCACTAGGTGTTGTTCCTTTGAAGATGCAGGTACTCCTGGCACAAGAATTACACTGTTTACATACAAAGAAAATAGTAGTTGTTATATGATGTCCAGAATTTCCTTCCTGAGTAATAATACCACCAAATATGAATTAGCATCAGTGTTCTCAGGTGCCTGTCACCTTTGCTTACACAATCATTTGTATGAACCATACGGAAGGCTTTTTGTGAATTTAAATATTAGCAATCAATTTCAAGAAAAAAAAAAAGCTAGGAAGTTGTTATCAAAACTTTGCAGGATTCTTGGTTAAATCAGAAAATTAAGTTGTGTGAAGTTGTTAAGAAGGTTTCCATGTATGTTTTCTATTAATACATCAACAAAATGATTTCTAAAACTACATGGTCAACATATTTGTGCCTTCCTATGAATTGATATACTCCCCCTAATTGGTTTGGCTTCTGGGAACTAATATGGATGAAAGCTGTCTTGTTGTTTGGAAGTATTTTCATCCTTTGCCATGCTGTCAAGGCACATGGGGCAAAATCCCTTTTATGATGCAACTTCTGTGGCCTGTTTGGCAGCACACAAGTGCCATAAATCATGTATGTTGAACAACTGAGATGGTGTAAAAAACCCTTCACCCATCCAGGAATTCCACTGTGTGTTGAGCATCTGATATGGCATCTCCTGGCACTGAGGACTGGAGGTGGATTTGGAGCACACTGGCACTTCATTTTCTGTCTTGAAGCTTCTGCAGTCTCTGAGCTCTGATTACTTGGCGTAACACAGAGATGCCCTATAGGAACTCTAAATTATGCCAGGGCTGGAATTACCTGCGGAATCATGGTCTGTTAAGTCTGATAACTCTTCTTCTCATAACGTCACACAACCTGAGATAATTCAAACAGAACTGTTCTTGTAGACGACAAGAATATCAAAGCTCTAATGTCCAACATTAGAACAGTGAATGATTCATTATGTTAGGACAAAAATGTTGAAACTGTGTTAATTATCCTCAAATAGTGTCACAGAAACAGCTTTGTCTGTCACTTTAAGTAAGATATGTAATATTCTAGGGGAAGGAATTATTCATAGCACATACGTGTGTATATATATATTTATATATACACACACATATATATGAAAGTGCCTATATATAAAAGAAAGGTGTAACACGTAGAGGGTTTCTGGTAACTAAGAACTTTACCTATTACAGTATTTTTTCCTGCTTTAATACTATCCCCAGAGCCTCATGTCTGTGTGCAAACCTTCATGCCTGTGTGAGGTTTGTTGATGTTACTGAAAATCCCCACGGATTCAGTCTGTCTGCTCACATTGACAGAATGGAGGGACCATAGGTTGGACCCAGAGACTCTCAGTTCCTCAGCTCTGGAATGCTTTCTCACTTTAGTGATTTTTTTTTCCACTTTCTCAAAAGGTGTGAAGATGTTTCTGCTTGAAAATTTTATGGAAGTAGCCTTTGTAGTCTTCTGTAAATGTCTGCTTTTACCTTTTTTTTGTGCATCTTGTATTTTTTATAATTTTATTTATTTTTATTGTTAGCTTTACAACTAGACCAGATAGGCACTAAAGTGCTGGAACAACACACATATTTTTAGCTTATGTTAAGATAGGAGAAGGTAATGTTTATGAATAGTTTTGGCACATATTATGCTGTGCTATTTTCCATCCAATAAACTGGTTATTGGATGGAAAGAAAC